TCATTATTAGGGTTAACCAGATCAACAATGGTTCTCCCAATCAGCATCGGGTCTGTAGCCATTTTGTTTTGACATTATCTAACCTCTACCAATCAGCTTGCTTTCCATGCTATCCTTCCCACAAATCCATGGTTCAGTAGATAAACACGTAAATAGTGCTTTTGAAGTAACAGACAATGCCCCTCCTCTTGATGTTGATCAACATATTTCACAGTTTCACCTTCCCTTTGTAGATAGGCTACTAGACTAATAATGAATCTTTTATAAATTATGGGGCTATTCTTTACATTGTAATTAATTTTGAGCCAGAATAATAGAATTCTATAAGCAAATACAGAGCTAAACACAAGAGTCTAGACTGGCCCTTATGAAAGTGTGCTTTGTTTTCCAATTTTTTAGGGTACACAATACCCGTTCAGTTTCCACAGACTTTATCTAGCAAGGGTATACGTATTTGTCGACTGACTCTGGGAAGGGCCATAGTAAATAACAAAAATTAAGAAACATAGACATGTCCAGCGGAGGTGAGACCACTTCCGCTGATCAGGTAGTTGTCCGCACACATGAAGTAGGCATAGCGGGCGACCGTGGGCTGCGAGTCCAACCAGGGGAGGACCTCGCTGAGGAACTGCTCGGACTCGCTAGACGAAGCGCCGGTGCTGATGTCGTTGTTGAGGGCAAACTCGGTGATCCAGACACTCTCGAGGCCCTTCTCTGAAGCGAACGAGATGGCCTGGTTGACGAAGGTCTTGAACTCCTCGGCCGAGTTACCGTACCAGTGCACGGCGAGGGCGCTGATACCGCAGTCGGTGCAGGACTGCAGGAAAGTGTTCATCCAGTCCAAGCCTTGGCCGGCAGAACCGCTGTTGGTGACACCGGGAGAAACCAGCTTGGCCTTGCCGCTGTAGGGGGTGATGTACTGCTTGTAGGCCTGCGCGGCCTCGGAAGGGGACATGGCGGACTGGCCGCTGTTGTCGGGCTCGTTGAAGCCCAGAATGTACTGGCTGCCGCTGGCAAGGGCCGTCTCGATGGCTGAGAGCCAGCCGCCGAACATCTTGCTACCCCAGAGCATGGGCACGAACTCGACGCCGGAGGGCAGAGTACCCGAGGCCAACATGTTCCAGTCGTATGCCCAGGAGATCGAGCCATTGCTGCCGAGGGCTTGCACGGCCGACGCATCGTTGTAGGCGGCTCCGCGCTTGGTGCTGGAGCGCTTCTCGATGTGGCGGTGCTGGTGGCCGTGGGGTGCGGCCACGGCGGAGGAGGCCAGAAGGCCGGCAGCGAGAAGGTTCTTGAAGGAGACCATTTTGATTCTTCTCTTCGTCTTCAAGTAGGTTGGGTAGGGAGCGAGGCCGAGAAGCAGAATTCTCAAAAGATTTGGAAAGGGAGCGAAAGTGTGCTTGAGCAAGCAAGCAGCAGATAAGTCACAAGAAAGGAATGACTATTGACCGTGCACTGCACAGGACAACAACAGCTAAAGCAGATTCTAAAGGAGAGTGACGAGAGGATGACGAGAGGAGAAGAAGAAGAAGAAGATGAAAAGATTGTGAAGAGGTCGAGGGAGAAGAGGCACATTTAAAACATTGTGTCTATTAGGGTAGGCGCCACAAAGAGAGACACCCAACGAGAGTCTGGGCGCCAATCCTCATCAAAGACGACATTATTGCCATTGTTCCTGCTTTGTTTTTCTCTGAATAACGGGAAATTCAGCGAATGCAGCAATCTGATTTGTAGGGATGGGTTGCTGTTCCTGAAGCGAAAACGCATCCACGGAACTCCACCAGGAGCAATCCACGGTGGAGGATGGCACAACCATTGGGCCTATGGAAGAGACATGTCTGTCAGGTACAGGTACAGGTACAGCCGGAGACAGCTCACATCCTGCGAAGATGATTTGGCACCACCGACAGACAGAATGGATTAGGATGTGGGCCACAAAGACCCTTGAGGATGAAGATGATGATTGATGGATCAAATGCGAGAAGACGTGATTGGGTCTGGACTGCCTGGGCGCCTAAGGCTGCTGACACTAGTCAGCACATGTTTTATTTCCCGAAGTCTGTTCAAGACTGCTCAATAATAATCGAGTCTCATGAAAACAGAGATACTATTAATGAAATCCATCAATTAGCAGTCTTTGTTTAAGACAGAAATAACGGTGCACACTATCTAAAGGGCATCCAGGTCTGGGGTCTGGACTATTGATTGTTACTGCTGCAGTGACCACGTCTCATCCTAGTGTCTGTTAGCGGTCTTTGTAGCGCTCCACCATGGGATCCACGACAGTCCAGACCAGAAACTCTGATTTCTCTTTCCATTTGACCGCAAGATATTATTACTGAATACTTAATCTCAAGTTCCTCGGCATGTTTGATTACTTTCTGGGCGGAATCATGCAGGAAACCCGGTATCTAGATAACTGACCGACAAACAAGCCGAAACTCAGCGAGTCAACACCATGAGAGACCAAGAGTTCGAGCATGAGACCACTGACATCAAGTTTGACGAGGGTGGCTGTCCTGCATACGTATGCTCCTAGTGCTCCGGATGGACTCGCTATCTGCACACTAAGAAATCGTGAAACACGCCGATCGCTGAGGGCCGCCACTACCAAGCATCGCCGGTCTGCCCACTAGCTTCCTAGTGTGCGCTTTATTCGATCACGGCCTTAAGAGCAAATGGCAACGCAGACTGTCTTGTTAGTGGTAAGCCAGACGACGTGGACATGGAGATGTGGCTGTCGCCCTATCAAATGTCTCTTCAAACTTGAATTTTGTCGCCAGGGGTTCCTTCGTCCACACTAATGAAGAAGGGGAATGACTTCTGGAACCATGTCTTGCCTTCAACTTTCTTCTAGGCCTGACACCCCGGTCTTCCTGACCGATTGCCCATGGTTGAGCCTGAACACTTTCCTTCGTTCGTTTTTTCCTCGGGGTCAGGTATTGGACGGGATTCACGGGAATGGGTCAGCGTCAGGGCTGACGGAAGCCACCGGGTTGCCATTGGAACATCCATCTGATGACCCTCGCTGACATTCAGGCTCCACGTCTGACAGCAGCCACTGAGCTATCAGAGAGTGGCGCTGCGTGGCAAGCGTGAAATCTGCCTGGCGGTGGCCCTCCCCGGCGTAGCACCGGCCACGGGGACTGTACCATGATAGCAAACTCTGTCTGATCCGCGGATCCATCTATCGAACTCTAGTTGTAAGAGGGATGCATCTGGAAGAAGCCGGAATGCTTTACTCGACTGCAGCACTCCAGGAACACCCCGGACTCCCCAAACAAGACGATATCTGTATCAAAAGAAGGCCTTGACTTTGCACTCCAGCCGGCAGAACTTGTCTTCAGAATCGCCGCGGGCCCTACTAGTGAATAGGGGGATTTGCCTCGGCTTGTGAGGGATATCCTTCGCCGACTCATCATGAAGTCATTACCCGATTCGGTAATCATCCATGTCGGTTTGTAAAACACGAGATTCGTAGACCACTTTCCACAAGTCTCCGAGCCCACCAACTATAATGATTGATCAGGCTGAACAGAGTACTTGCTGTATTACTGATCATCCCCTAACCAGCGCAAATGTCGAGAAGACCTCTGAACAAGGTCGCCCCCAGCCAATCCTCATTTGTGACACAATGCCGTGCCTGGTCTAAGGAGACTCAAAGACTGAGATCGTCATGATAGCATCCTGAAATTAGAACGACCGAGAGTCGCTGCATACCAGCATCGAATCAATAGTACACTAGCCTTTGATATCCTTGCTATTCATCTTATTCTCCTCGTATTTCGGATCTCAAGACTTTCCATTCTTGACGCACAATTAGAGCCATCGGGCAAGACTATCTGTTTTACTGGCCTTGGACGGAGTCCTCCTGCGGTTGTGGAATCCAGAATGACTGGATATGAACCGAAGGTTGTTAGGTACCCTGGTGGTTTGCATCGATGGCTTTATACGACTTACTAAAACCATGATCGCCTGTGCCGACAGAAGATCTCCAGGTAGATCATGCGTCTGTTGCAATAGGGTTCTATCTGCTAGTATAGGCCCCTGCGTTTTAATGCTAAACGGAATTCCAGAATGCTTAACCTTCCGTGCGCTAGGGTAGGAGCCTTTAACTGCACGGTTTTTATGAGCATCTATCAGAGACTCAATCAGAAGCGCATGAGCTCAACTCCGAGCCCTTGGTGGAATGCCTGCCATGTTCCCTGCTTTCATGATTGCCATGACTGAGGACCAGATGGACGACAGCGGGCCATAAACGATAGGAGCAGCCGACCTAAAGAGCCAGGAGGAACAAATGCCCCTCCGTCAGCATCATTGCTGGTAAGATCTTCTCATAAACTTCCCGCCAGCCCCTCCCTGCTTAAGAGATATCTTACTTACACATGGAGTAAAGCTCGCCAGCGACAAGTCAGCCAGCCACTTTTGCGCAGACGAAACAACTGAACGGATGGAACCTGTATAACCTGGAGGGGTCAAACCACCTCCGTCAGCACGAATGCTGGCAAGATCTTCCTTATAGACTTCCCACCAGCCCCTCCCTGCCTAGAAAGGAACAATACTTGCCTGTAGATACATGGTCGTAAAATCGTCAGACAGTATAAGCGAAGGGAGACAGGCACACGACTGCTAGTCCGACTCTCTCGATCAGCTTCTGGCCAGCTCCTCCCTGTCAAACGAGAGGATCACTTACCTGGGAATCCAACGATCCATGTTGCCGTGCATCCGTATTTCCTAGTACAACGCGAGCCGCATATCGAATCCTAAGAACTGGAGGTCCAAAAGGCACCTCCCTCAGCAAAGTGTTTACACAATACTGGTATAAGCTCCTTCCTCTCTATAAACTTCCCGCCAGCCCGCCCTGCCTATAGAAAAGTCACTTACCTAGGTAGTGTTCAAATACCTAATTCCGCTCGAACGGAGCGGGATCAATCGGATGAGCTGATGAGATGAAAACCCTAGACCGACGATGAATCCCACCGTCAGCATAATGTCACAGAATGCTGGTAAGATCTTCCTCCATAAACTTCCCACCAGCCCGCCCTGCTTATGGAAGTCACTTACCTGATCGTGGCATGTGCCCGACTTTGTTTGAAAGAGGGCAAGAAAGAAAGATCGAATGATTGAAGTTTTACAACAACGCCCCAACCCCCAACGTCCACTATCAGCATTACTGCTGGTAAGATTCTTCCCTATGAACTTCCCGCCAGCCTGCCCTGCTCAAAGATCAGTCACTTACCTAGTGCGATGGTGTGTTTGCCGTTGTGTCGAGTGGACCGTCAAAAGAATATCGAAGAGATAGAGCCCTACATCAACAACCACCTCCCTCAGCACAGTGTTTCCACAATACTGGTAAGATCCATCCCTATAAACTTCCCACCAGCCCCTCCCTGCTTGAAGAGATGTCACTTACCTGGAGTCACAATTGACTGACTTCGTGTTGCGCAGGCGAATGGATCCTATCATGGATGGAACCCTATATCAAGACCACCTCCCTCAGCACAGTGTTTCCACAAGATACTGGTATAAGTTCATCCCTCTCTATAAACTTCCCGCCAGCTCCGCCCTGATTATGAGAAGTCACTTACCTCAAGATGCCACATGATCGATATCGTATCTCGCAGAAGTCGAATGGAGTCGAACGAGTACCTGCACCAAACGACCACCCCCCAATGTCCACTATCAGCACAGTGATTTCACAAATGCTGGTAAGATCCTTGCTATGAACTTCCCGCCAGCCCGCCCTGCTAATGGATCAAGCCACTTACCTCCTATATCTTCATCAAAGGACTGAGAGACAAATGCCGGCATATATAGGGGCGGACAACCTGGATAAAAGTCAGTATAAGCTTGCAAGATTCCTTCGCTGTCATTATTTTTTTAATTAAGGGGAATTTACATCGAGGATTGCATCGCAGAGCCAGGAACGTGTTGTGTCGTCACGACAGAGTAAGATGTCTCAATAACCTATTCAACAGAAGGGACACAAGGGCCCTTCGTCAGCACAAGGACTGGTAAGGTCTTCCACCGTCTCCGCCGATCAACTAATCAATCCAGGGAAGTACTATGGCGTGGCACGAAACGACATCAGACTTAGTACCGCTCAATTCCAACCGTTCTCTCGACGCTTAGACTGTCTGTGACAGCAGGCTGTGGCAAGAGGATGAAGGCGGCAAGAAGCCGGCAGTGTGAACCGCATGGAAGAGCTTGGTACAATCTGCGTATTTCGCGGATGGCAAGTGATGCAAACAAGAAAAGGACCACACAGCACAATATATAACAAACAAAGAACGCAAACCTGCAAGACACAAGTCAGATTCTCACGGTTATCCGTCTTGCCCCAGGCATGTCCACCAGCAGAAGCCAAGGACCATGAAGGACCTCTAGGATATCTGCACGAGCTTTGAAGCTCGCAGCCTTGACATAGGCAAGGACTTACTGGTAAGCTTCTTCTCGAGCTGTGAAGTGTGACAAGCTTGAAGTCAAGACTTGTCAGCAGGCTTCACTGGGGCCGATGAGCTCGCGGCCAGGGCACATTATGACAGCCATAACTGAAAGAAGAAGCAGCCTCGAACGAATAACTCGGTGAACCCATGCCACCTCAATCCCTGAAGATAAAGAAGAAAAAAGCTCAGGTTCTTACCTGAAAGAGTGAATCTTTTGGATGGAATCAAGCAGCTCTGGTTTGGAGCTCAACTGATGAAGTGCCTAGTGAGCTCAAGTGGGGAGAGGAGAGAAGCAAAGAGAAAGAGAAGGAGAAGGACACAGAAAATCAAAGGAGTATTGAGTCAGAAGATGAAACGAAGGAATATCTCTAAGCTACTCACCTACAGGCTAAAGCAACTCAGAGTGAGATGAAGAGGGAGTTGAAAGAAAGATGGAGGAAGATGGGGGGTCGAGGGGAATTTATACTGGAGAGAAACAAGCGAGCGTGGGAGAAAGTCTTCGCGTCAGCAGGGCATTCACAGGGCCATTAACGAAGACTGAGGTAATCGATGTGCACAGAAGACGAGGAGTGAGGAAGAAACAGAACAGGCAGAGACCCAGCAAGGGGAATGTGTTGGTACTCTGGTACTCTGTGCTCACGCAGTCAAATCATATAGTCGAAGACGGCAACAACAAAGTGGAAAACATGGGAAGATAAGATCTTCTGGGGTCTAGTTGCGGAGAACCATAAACAACGTTTGTTGATATGCCTATAATAGAAACACAAAGTGGTGGAAATGAGTCAAATTCGAAAGGATAGCCATGGTATCGTCCATACATGAATGCTACTGTTACAACAGAATCAGTCCTTCTTTCTCCCTTCCAGAACACGCAACACATCGGCTGCGCTATTCTTGTCTCCTTTCTTCTTCTTGGGACCCCTCTTCCTCTTCTTGCTCCCTTCGTTTTCAAATATAACCGCCTCGTCATCTTCATCGTCTTCAATGCGACTCCCCCCAAATCCAAAGTCCAAATCCGCAGCGTCCAGTGCTTCGCGGCGTCGAGCATCCTCGAGAAACTTCTGTCGACGCAAGAGAGTTTCGTGATCCACGTCTTCCTCTCCTTCCCCAGCAACCGCCCCCGCAGAGGGTGACGCCTGCCGCAAGGCAGCAGCCCGCTTTAACGCTGCCAGCAAAGTCGGATCCGTGGTTAAGGGGTTAGCACGACGGTCAGACTCTGGAGGTTCATCTTTTGCGGAGGTAGAGAAGTAATTGCGAGGTTTGTGCGGCTCGACAGCGGGTTTCTCTTCTTTGGCGCTAATGCTTGTCTTTTCTGTAGTTTGAATCTGTCCTTCGTCCTCATCCGAAGAACTATCGTCCTCATCCTCGTCTCCTAACGGATTGTAATCGGCTCCTACTCCCTCGAAGATATCGTCATCCTGATCCGTAGAAGGAGGGGCTGCTACCTTAGCAGCGATTTCCGCTGGAACCTCCATACCCAGTGGTTTCGCGTCTTTTTCAGGTACAAGCAAACCGTTACCTTCACCAGGCTTGTCAAGCCATCTCACTTTTCTCTTGGTCTTGCCCTCTGCATCCGTTACCACAAGCACCTCCCTCCGTCTCCCGTTCTCATCTTGCTCAATGAACCTTTTCTTCTCAACCTTGGATTCACTAATTCTCTTGAATTTGCCACCCAACGCTGGCTCAGCAGGATGGGACGTAGCATTAGCAGCTGCCGCTGCCGCACGGCTCGCTTTTAACTCTCGTAGTATTTCATCCCGTGTTTTCTTCGCAGGCAGCTGCGGCGGCGCCATGGTTCCTTTCTTTTCCTTCTTCTCCTTCGGCGCAGAAGGTAGCACAGTCTGCTCTTTCTCCTCCAAAACACGGTCGAATGCCTCATCCACATCCTCAGCCTGATCAAGCCCTTCTACATTCTGTGCTTCGGCCGAAGCCGGCACTTCCTCGGACGCTTTCGTTACATCCTCTCCTGCCTTGACACGCTTCAGAAGCTCCCAGTCTAAACCTTTAACCATGTGCGTGCTCTTAAGGTCACCGCCCACCCCAAGCTCAGACCGTATTCTGTCAAACGTCGCCTGGTCGATCTGCCCCAGCTTAACCATCTCCTCCAACGCCTGAACGCGCTTCTCAATATCCGAGCCACTTTCGTCGTGTTCTTGCCGCAGCAGCGCAGCTCGATCCTGATACCCTGTGGGCAGTTTCGTGCCCTTGGGAGCGGCGGAGGACTTGAACCGTTTCGTGGGTGGCTGCTGGGACTCGCGGCGCTGTTCGGCCAATTGCCTGGCGAAATCGACTTTTGTTACCGAGCGCCTGACCGTAGAAAGACAATTCAGTTAGCTTGCGATTCATTCTGCTTTATGCTTCTCTGTAAGGGATCCGTGGTTGGCACGGAGGAGTTACATACGGTGTCATCGGGATGCTGGAGCGCATTCTTGATCCGAGGGCAAGAGCGCGCGGCGTTGCACCGGCCACGCCTGCATCTTGCCTTGGGGACGTTTCATCGACGGGACTTGTTTTGTTGGCTCTAGTGCTGGCAGAGGGTGTGTCTAGTACCAGTCGTCGGAATTGCTGATTGTTCATGATGGCAGAAATGAAGGTGATGATAGACCGTAGACGTAGAGAGACAGTCGTAGAGGTAGAATATCTACATCAAGAGTATGATGTAGACGCCGAATCTATTATATTTCCCGCAAGAGAACGGATTTTGGTTGTTCAGATTGGCTCCTCGTTCATTTCCTCTTTATCGCGTCCGATGTCCGACCGTTATAATCGTTGGGCGGAGTGGGAAAAAAGCGGCGGAGCTGTCTCTTTGCACTCCGCACGGGTACGTCAGGGTTCTTGGCGGCATCTGAGGCCAATTCTTACATCCGTATGGGGCAAGCCCAAGCACTTTATACGGGAGAGGAAAGGGAAGAATTCCTGAGAAATACGGGCGTTGAAAGATGAAGCCTATTGCCAACTGTGTCCCACCAGGAGGGAACCTAATGAAAGTCATAAAGCTTTTATTCGGCAAGTTCAAGGGCCATGTAACACTAATTCCACATAGGAAGCTTTAAAAAGTACGAGAAGATTAGAGTATATCTACCACTATTTCACCCAGGGAATACTTTAAAGGGTTTCCCATCCGCCGTTATTGATGTCTGCCTCCAGCTTGCGACTGATAGTGGCAGGGATGTTGTGATTCAGCCACACATCACGGAGGAGTCGATCGTATCGTTTTTGATTCAGAATCAGTTGCCGGTTTCGTCGGAGTCCGGGATCAACTTCGCCATGGCGGTCAAGGTATGGAGCGAAGTGCCAGGAGCCGTTCTTGTTATGGAGGTAGAGGATCGCGCATTTGCGGATGTTGATGAAGAGACCCACGTTTTTGCCACATCTAGTGGGTGTGCGGGTTAGCACTTATCAAACGAGGGACTCGTGGGGGATATATGATCACTTACTTCTGCAGATGCTGGTTACAGCCGCCTACTCTATTGTCCACCGAGCAGCACACAGCTTGCGAACAAAAGATATCTCCACAGAAAAGGCAAATACTGGGGTCTGTCAGTTCCTTTTTCGTCTTCGGACACCGTCTACGGTTGACTTCTTCGATCAAGATGTCATAGTATTTCGGGAGCCCGATCAGCTCGAAGATAGCCGGATGAGGAAGAGTTGGCCACAATTGGTGGTCAGTGATGCGGGTGCCTACGCGAGAACTGTTCCAGTGAGAGATCCAGCCGGCAACCATGGCATCAAGCTCGTTGGCTTTCTTCGCAGGGTTGAGAGACGAGAATATTGCGTCGAGGGAGGGAAGTTGCAGTAGCTTTGTCAGCCGGTCCAACTCTGAACCCCCCATGTCGTTGAATCCAGCGGTAGGGAACTCGACGCCATGTTGGACGTGAAGCAGGATGACAACCTTTCGGAGGAAGGCTAGGGCGTAGCTCGATACCAGCCGTCTCAGCGCGATGATTATGCCTGGCGTTGCTGAGTCCTCGCCATCCTTGACGTAGCCACTGTCTGCAGCAAACGAAGATCCTTCATCATGACGGAATGAGGTCTCCCTCAACTCACCGACAATGGCGTTGAAGAAATGGCGAGTATACTCATACCGCTCATCCGATAGCTCAACGTCCAAGAGATAATGCGCGTCTCCGTGTTCGGCAAGTTCCTTCTTCAGTCCTTGCGGATGCAAGATGTAGGTCATGGCCACTTTGACGATTTCAGCTACATAGCACAGCTGAACGAGGTGGCGTACATCAATCTTCAGCACGGACAACAGAGACAGGGAGCATTCTGCCAGGAAGACAAATGTATCCTTGGCCAGCATGGGCTCAATATCACGGGCTCCATCGAGCAGTGCTGTGCCGACCAAACAAGGATGACCAACAAATAGCT